GTAGTAGCAGTAGCAGCATTAGCATTAGCATTAGCATTAGCATTACCAGTAGCAGTAGCAGCATTAGCATTAGCATTAGCATTACCTGTGCGATGCGGTGGTGCTGCAGGTTGATGACTCGGGACACTGCCATCTGCATGGACCCAAACACCGCCACCACCTCCAGCTTCTTGTCGTCGAAGGAAGGAGCTCCAAAGTTCTGCGACACACAAACCTCACATTACTAAGTCCAACCTTTATACACAGACACACAAACCTCACATTACTAAGTCCAACCTTTATACACAGACACACAAACCTCACATTACTAAGTCCAACCTTTATACACAGACACACAAACCTCACATTACTAAGTCCAACCTTTATACACAGACACACAAACCTCACATTACTAAGTCCAACCTTTATACACAGACACACAAACCTCACATTACTAAGTCCAACCTTTATACACAGACACACAAACCTCACATTACTAAGTCCAACCTTTATACACAGACACACAAACCTCACATTACTAAGTCCAACCTTTATACACAGACACACAAACCTCACATTACTAAGTCCAACCTTTATACACAGACACACAAACCTCACATTACTAAGTCCAACCTTTATACACAGACACACAAACCTCACATTACTAAGTCCAACCTTTATACACAGACACACAAACCTCACATTACTAAGTCCAACCTTTATACACAGACACACAAACCTCACATTACTAAGTCCAACCTTTGTACACGGACACACAACAGTCCAGGACACTCTCGGCAAGGCAAGTTTATCCGTATCGTACAGTTCCTACACAAGGCACCTCAAAGCGCTTAGCAAAACAAGTACGAGGTAGTAGTGGTAGTAGTTTGGATATTTTATAACAAGCTGAATTCATAATTATAACACACATAAGAGCAGGCGCTTTTCCACTTAAATGTTTGTTATCTCAAGGCCGAAGCTACTGACATCGTGGCAGCTGCTGATTGGAGCGTCTACGATGATGACTTTAAAACATGTCTTTTGTTTGTCCGACACAATCCCAGACCTTTGTCCTTTTCTTCAGTAGTAGAAGAAGTACAGTAGGTCCCATTCCGTTTTGTCGCCTTTCACGCGTGAATCACACGTGAGTCTCGTGTGATTCACGCGTCTTTTATTTTCCCCCCTCCCAGTGACGTTGCAATGACCAAAACAACCACCAGGTGGCACTTGTGAGCAGGGTTACATTGGCCAGTCTCTGGAATAACCCGCAGACATTAAAACTACTGCACACTGAGAAAAGTGTTGCAAGCGCAACTTTGAACCTAAGTACTTGTATTTGCAATTTCGGACTTAAAATTTATTCTTATGGTTTTAATATTAGAAAAATAATTTCCATTTACTAAAACAAAAACAATATACCCACAAATACGTTTTGTGTGTGTATTGAACTAAATTTTGAAAAAATATTGTTGGCAGTGCAGTGCTTCTTAAATCTGACGCTATCAATAAGTGTTCAGACAAAGTAATTTCTACTGGGCGGGAGTTTGCTTCCGGTTCGGACCGTTTCCGCGAGCTTGTTGTTGGTGATGGGCGCTGAGCCAGCCTTGGACACGGTCGTGTGGTTTCCCGTGAGATCCAACTCAAAGTAAGATTTTTTAAATATATGGTGCTTTCTCTGTAAGGTTTGTCGCGTATTTGATCAAATATATACAATCTGTGGTCAAATCGTCGTTTTATTTTCTTGGCAGTTCGTGTCCAAAATTACTTCATGTTAACTGTCTACTCTAGCCCCAAACATGTTGTTAGCATAAAACTGTGCCAGTATAATGGTCCTACAATTTCGTTGTTTAGCAAAGTGATTTGTGTTAAGACTCGTAACATTACCAACTACCCCTTAAATGTTCTGAACCATAATAACAGGCGTAGTTTTCGCAGTTTGGAGCTGCTAGCTTCTAGCTAGCTGTTGCTAACGGTACGCAGCTAACATAAGTAGACCAAAGTCGCTACTGTCCTGCTCTGTCTTGTTGCCGGAGGTGCAAGTGGAAAATACAGTTGGCAACAGAAGCCACGTGACATTTATTAATCTTCTATTATTTTCTACTCTTGGGGACAGTTCATTTCCCCGCAGAAGTCCCTAGTTACATTAGCTCAGCGGAGCGACTCTCAAGGAGGAGACAGGTGCAGAGCATGGTGCGGAGGCAGAAAACATGTTTATTGCTATCTGAGATCGCTCTGATTTCCTCGCGGTCAGAAAGTAGCTTGTTTCAGCAGCAAACTAACGTTAAGTTAACAGCTACTGCATGTTGTTAATGTTATGACCCGTCCGCATCAGCATCACTGTATTATATCAAGGCCTGTCTGTTTTAGCCAATGTGCAGCTATATGGTTAGTTATGATAAGTTCAAATAAATTCAGAAATCTGCAGCACATTTAAAAAACCCAAACAAAGTATAAGTGATACATTATAAACATGCATTTTTAAAAGAACATACTGAGGGTGACTGCTATAGCCTATTGCAGTCACAAAATTAGAGTGGAAATGCTAAAAATCTAATGTGACTTACATTCGCATTTCATATGAACAACATTTTGGCATGTTAATTTTGAAATAAACGATATTTTGCTGGACAAGTAGGTTTTGTTTCCGGGCAAGTAAAAAATACCTGCCACTTCAAGTACCTCAAAGCACTTAATGTCAAGTCCTGACAAGGTAATACATTCAGCTAAAGACAGGTACATGTTGTGGTATAGCATGTTTTTTGTGGAATCACGTGTAGTAACGCAAAATGCACAAAGCACTTTGTTTGTACTAATCTAATGCATTTTTTATATGTAAAAAGCAGCACCGCCTGTTTAAATGCTTATATTTGTCCAATGAAGAGTATTTTTAAGCATGTTTATTAATTTTATTTTATTTTATTTTAGATTTTTCCTTTCACTGCTGCCAATTGATGGAGGAAAGCTACAGCAGGAGGTAAGTGTGATACAAAAAGAACTGTTAATAAATTAAGTGAATGTAATGTACTCGCTAGGGATGCAATAGTTTTTTTTGGGGGGGGGGCATTATACATTATACATTACACTCACCGCAAGATTTGCGGTGAGTCCTTGGCAACAAGAGAGGAGATTTTCCATCATTTGTCATTATATACGTTTTTATATCTAAATGAACACAATCAGAAATATGAAAACATATTCAAGATAAGAAGTGCTGAATACTTCCTAATTCGTGGTGTTTTTTATTTCTATGTTGTTTCGTAGGATCCAACCGCTGCTATAGCAAAGAGGAGGGAAGTCGTAATCCGAGGCCTAATTGAATACATGGGGGAGAAGCCAGGAGACTTGATTTCAGATCTACAGGTAAAATTTCCAATCTTTTCTTTTTCAGGGTATAAAAAAAGTACCGTACCTTATGCTGATATGTCTATCATTAAGAGTAGTAGTATCACCAAATCCTCTTCATCCTCTGCATATGCTAAAAGTCAGCATATGCAGATTATTTACAAAACATTTTGGTCTCATTTGACCATAGAATAATCTACAATCATGTAGAAAAGGTTAAATCATCTACTGGACTGGGTTTTGGTAAAGTTGAGGATGTTTCGCTTTTAGTGACACAAGCTTCTTCAGAGCTCTTAAAGTCATAAAAGAACACTTACCCAAACTGGACTAAAAACTAAAAAGACCCAGGTTCCTTCCAGAAGGAGAGAACCAAAACTGCCAAAAATGTCTATTCAAATTGTTTTCAATATCACTCAACTTTACCAAAACCCAGTCCTGGCGATGATTTAACCTTTTTATAAGATGGACACTCCCTGGATGAATGAGAGCCTTCACAAACATCTGACCATATGACATTCCCCCAGCCCTCTGGATGGAATGGTCACTGGAAAACTTCAGTTGGACATGAATGAACATGAGCTGGCTAAAGCAGCTGGACCTGTATGGTATGAATTAAAGGTGCACCGATCTGATCTGTCACCAATCATGATTGGTCGATCACGGCCTAATTTTTGTGATCGGTGATTGGTGAAATGCGCCGATCAGAGGGGCCGATCAAACGTAGATTTCAGACTTTCTTACAGTAGATAATCTGGTGAAAACTCCACAGTATAGCGCCGCTCTAAACCGAGTTTTAAATGTAATTCGTGGCTACAAAACCGCTCTGGATGAAATGCTCGGCTGTATCCCTCTGCGCATGTCGGCTCTCCTCTTTCCAGACTGCAGTGTAACTAAACAAAACAATGATGAAGCTTGAGCTAACCCGCTATCGCTATGCTTTAAGACAAAAACATGAGTTTGTGACAATAAAATATCAGCGTCTGGTACTTCTAATAGTAGGTAAAGGAGATGATTTGCCATGTACCATTATTTACATTTGCAACTACCGCATGACTTCACATGCGCGCTCCGTAAGTGATACCACAGGATATTTAACACAAAACTGTGCTATCTGAAACGCACGTGAAACTACAATCAGAGGCAGGGGTCATTGTCCTGTCTTATTTTGCTCTTTAGTACTCACTAAATGGCAGCTCGTCAAAAGGGAAAGTATGTGCGTATGTGTTTGGCACCTCATGTCGCCGTCTCCTTGTGGAAGTTCTTTTCTTTCTTCAAATATTGTCTAATGTTACTGTCAAACTAATTTAGGCAGAAATGTGAGAAATTCCACACAGTGTGCTCACTTTTTCTAAACATTAATTGAACAAACAATATATATTTGTACCGTCAAATAATTCCTGCAACATTATAACATACATAATGGCTGAATTTATGTGTTGTATCAAATATATTTAAGCTGTTACTGATGCATTTAGACACAAATTATGTAATTTAGTGACAAATCTCAAAATTAAACAGATATAATCGACTTGAAAATGTCTGCACAGCTCATCAGCCGTCAGTTTCTCTGAATAGGTTGCGTTCACGTTTTAGAATGTGATGATGGGCAGTTGTCAATACAACTCTATGGGAGAAATACAGTTTTTGTACGAACTCTCAAACAAAAATTGACAAATGTTTTTCCTCTTCAGTATTTGACAGTGATTAGATTTACTAACCCACTTTATTATTATATAGAGAGATGCGAGCAGAGAGAGAGAGATGCGAGCAGAGAGAGAGAGATGCGAGCAGAGAGAGAGAGATGCGAGCAGAGAGAGAGAGACGTGAGCAGAGAGAGAGAGGCGTGAGCAGAGAGAGAGAGATGCGAGCAGAGAGAGAGAGGCGTGAGCAGAGAGAGAGGTGAGCAGAGAGAGAGAGATGCGAGCAGAGAGAGAGAGATGCGAGCAGAGAGAGAGATGCGAGCAGAGAGAGAGAGACGTGAGCAGAGAGAGAGGGACACGAGCAGAGAGAGAGACGTGAGCAGAGAGAGAGACGTGAGCAGAGAGAGAGGGACACGAGCAGAGAGAGAGACGTGAGCAGAGAGAGACGTGAGCAGAGAGAGACGTGAGCAGAGAGAGAGAGACGCGAGCAGAGAGAGACGTGAGCAGAGAGAGACGTGAGCAGAGAGAGAGAGGCGTGAGCAGAGAGAGAGAGGTGAGCAGAGAGAGACGTGAGCAGAGAGAGAGAGACGCGAGCAGAGAGAGAGAGCAGAGAGAGACGTGAGCAGAGAGAGAGAGACGCGAGCAGAGAGAGAGAGCAGAGAGAGACGTGAGCAGAGAGAGAGACGTGAGCAGAGAGAGAGAGACGTGAGCAGAGAGAGAGAGGCGTGAGCAGAGAGAGAGAGAGGTGAGCAGAGAGAGAGAGAGAGACGCGAGCAGAGAGAGAGAGAGGTGAGCAGAGAGAGAGAGACGCGAGCAGAGAGAGAGAGACGCGAGCAGAGAGAGAGAGACGCGAGCAGAGAGAGAGAGATGCGAGCAGAGAGAGAGAGATGCGAGCAGAGAGAGAGAGAGATGCGAGCAGAGAGAGAGAGAGATGCGAGCAGAGAGAGAGAGATGCGAGCAGAGAGAGAGAGATGCGAGCAGAGAGAGAGAGACGTGAGCAGAGAGAGAGGGACACGAGCAGAGAGATAGACGTGAGCAGAGAGAGAGACGCGAGCAGAGAGAGAGACGTGAGCAGAGAGAGAGGGACACGAGCAGAGAGAGAGACGTGAGCAGAGAGAGACGTGAGCAGAGAGAGAGAGACGTGAGCAGAGAGAGAGAGGCGTGAGCAGAGAGAGAGAGACGCGAGCAGAGAGAGACGTGAGCAGAGAGAGAGGGACACGAGCAGAGAGAGAGACGTGAGCAGAGAGAGAGACGTGAGCAGAGAGAGAGGGACACGAGCAGAGAGAGAGACGTGAGCAGAGAGAGACGTGAGCAGAGAGAGAGAGACGTGAGCAGAGAGAGACGTGAGCAGAGAGAGAGAGACGCGAGCAGAGAGAGACGTGAGCAGAGAGAGACGTGAGCAGAGAGAGAGAGGCGTGAGCAGAGAGAGAGAGGTGAGCAGAGAGAGACGTGAGCAGAGAGAGAGAGACGCGAGCAGAGAGAGAGAGCAGAGAGAGACGTGAGCAGAGAGAGAGAGACGCGAGCAGAGAGAGAGAGCAGAGAGAGACGTGAGCAGAGAGAGAGACGTGAGCAGAAAGAGAGAGACGTGAGCAGAGAGAGAGAGGCGTGAGCAGAGAGAGAGAGAGGTGAGCAGAGAGAGAGAGAGAGACGCGAGCAGAGAGAGAGAGAGGTGAGCAGAGAGAGAGAGACGCGAGCAGAGAGAGAGAGACGCGAGCAGAGAGAGAGAGACGCGAGCAGAGAGAGAGAGATGCGAGCAGAGAGAGAGAGATGCGAGCAGAGAGAGAGAGAGATGCGAGCAGAGAGAGAGAGAGATGCGAGCAGAGAGAGAGAGATGCGAGCAGAGAGAGAGAGATGCGAGCAGAGAGAGAGAGACGTGAGCAGAGAGAGAGGGACACGAGCAGAGAGAGAGACGTGAGCAGAGAGAGAGACGTGAGCAGAGAGAGAGGGACACGAGCAGAGAGAGAGACGCGAGCAGAGAGAGAGAGACGCGAGCAGAGAGAGAGAGACGTGAGTCCGCGTGTCTATGGTCCGCGCTCGGAGCCCAGACGGCAGTGCGTTCACTGAGCTGTCAGAGCGGGGGTCACAGCAGCTGCTCTCGGGGCCAGAGCGGAGGATGTAACGTAACGTTCGGTTTATCAAAACATATCACAATATTTAACGTATAACACTAGTGAATTTCACCTAGATTTTTTCAGACATTAAAGACAAGATGTTATATAATAATTGTTTAATGAAAAAACAATTTTGCCACAAGCAACCAAAAGCTGTGCCTCAGACAAGAATCGAACCTGGGTTCTCCAGGTCCCTGTATTTAATGCTATCCATTCGGCCAACAAAGCACCTCTGGGCTAGACAGGTTTGCACGCAGTATGATACCTGAGCGTCTAAGTCGCTGGCAGAGCTAAAGCGGACTTAGCCTGCCACCTTGTGGCGATAAGATGTACTATTTTTCACGCAGCTGCGTGATTCCCGAGAAGCGTGAATGAAGACGACAAAACGGAATGGGACCTACTGTAATAATAATGTGTTGGTTTTATAAAGTGTTTTTTTTGGACACTCAAAGACACTTCACAGGCCAATATTCTTTCTCTCTGCACATGATGGTGATAAGCTACAACAGAAGCCACAGCTGCCCTGGGTCAGACTGTCATAACAGGCAGACGGTCTGTGCCACACACACACACACACACACACACACAAATGTGGGGGGAGTGTCTTTCTGCCCCTGCTGTTCCCATAGGTCTCCCATCACAGCACTAACCACGCCCTGCCCTGCTTAGTTTCAGAGGTTTGACATTATCTGGCTTTCACCTGAAAAAGCCTGTGAGTGGCAGTTTCATCAGTATTTTTAATCCAATTCATGCTTCTGGGAATTACAAGTGTTTTTCTCCACAGTACGTGCCCTTTAACTACAGTGACTCACGTTGTCCTCTTTGGTTCCGCCCCAGAAGTTGATGCCTCCTGCGTAACTGGGGATGTTCAGCACGGCCAGGCCCTGCAGACTGGGGAGGGACATGGGGACGCCGTCACACTGCGGACACACAACAGTCACACAATGTACCGTTAATGTGTCACAACTGTGTGTAGCTTTACAGAGCTTCAAAAATGCTTCAGTCCTGGTTCAGTCCTGTTATAGACTTGTTATAGACTTGTTTTAGACCGGGTTCAGTCCTGGTTCAGTCCTGTTATAGACTTGTTTTAGACCGGGTTCAGTCCTGGTTCAGTCCTGTTATAGACTTGTTTTAGACCGGGTTCAGTCCTGCCTTAAAAACCCTTTAGTCTCTGCTTTAGACCTTCTTTAGATGTAGCTTTTTTCAGAGTCCTGTTCTATATCATTAAACTGGATGAGTTGTGTGTATGTGTGTGTGTCTCTGTAAATATGTGTGTGTGTGTCTGTAAATATATGTGTGTGTGTGTATATGTGTATACATGTGTGTATGTATATGTATATGTATGTGTGTGTATATGTATGTGTGTGTGTGTGTGTGTATATGTATGTGTGTGTGTGTGTGTATGTATATGTGTGTGTGTGTGTGTATATGTATATGTGTGTGTGTGTGTATGTATATGTGTGTGTGTGTGTGTGTGTGTGTATGTATATGTGTGTGTGTATGTATATGTGTGTGTGTGTGTGTGTGTGTGTGTGTGTGTGTGTGTGTGTGTATGTGTGTGTGTGTGTGTGTATGTATGTGTGTAGACGGACCTCCAGCTGGACCCTCTGTTCCAGGTTCTTGTAGGTCTTCTGCACCAGTTCTTTGGTTCCCAGGACCCCGTACCACATCATGTTTTTAGTGCGACTGCTGCAGACCACACACACAACACACAAACAACACACACATTGATCAATGCAAGCAGAAAGAGCCCTGTGAGTCACTTTTTGACTGTTCAGGGTGACGTGACAGAGCCAGAAACACAAGTGTGAGAAAACTACAGATAGAAGCAACTGTTTAGAGCCAAGAACCAGAGACATGGACTTTATCATAGAGTTCTACTGTGGTGGTCTGAAAGTTACAACCCCCAGCTTTAAAGCTGCACTAACTGACTTTATTTTTGTATTCATTACGAAAATGCTATCCATGTCCGTGTAGGGCATTGGGATATACGTCCTTTTGACGAAAAAGTAGCGCAGATTTGTGCTGGCGTGACATTATATTTTAGATCGAGTTTTGATGAAACAAGGAAGAGAATGTGTTTTGGGTCGCAGATTGTGACCAATCACAGCGGACCACTGGCCCCCACTTTCGTGAGAAATCTACAGGTCCGTTAGCACAGACGGCTGAGTTAGCACAACAAGCGGCGGAGCTAACCTGAAGCTTCGTCATCACCGGTTACTGCTTACACAGCAAGACAGCCATCCAAAAGAAAGTCTCGTTCCTCCGCGCTTCCCGGTTCTATCGTTCTATGGTCACGGCATCCACGTGCAAATCCATATCCATGTATTATCCATATTGCGAGACGGTAGCTTCGTCAACAACAGTGGGTGTGTGTGGGGGGGCGATAGCTTCGTGGGTGCGGGGAGGGGAGCAGAAAGAGAGGCCAGCGAGTCTGCTGCTTCAAAATCCCAAAGTCAGTTAGTGCAGCTTTAACCAGCCCCGGCGTTACACCCCCCCCCCCAGCATTAGCCCCCCCAGCATTAGCCCCGCCCTCACCTGCATTTCTTGGGGTGCTCGTCTCTCTTGTTGTTGAATTCCAGTGAGATCTTTGCGTCGAGGCCGATTCCAAAGTAATTATTCATGACACACTTTTCTGAACAGGGTCTGAGGAGGACAACACAGCTGCTTTAACACAGACACACACAGACACTGATACACACATACACAGAACACAGAACACAGACACGCAAACGCACACACAGACACACACAGAGAGGCACACACAGACAGACATGCAAACGCACACACAGACAGACATGCAAACGCACACAGAGACACACACAGACAGACATGCAAACGCACACAGAGACACACACAGACAGACATGCAAACCCACACAGAGACACACACAGCGACACACACAGACAGACTCACACAGTAGCGTTGTTGTACGTCGCCGTGTGGACACTCTCTGGTTTCTCGAGGACGATGGGAGACGTGGGACTCAGACCTCCAGGACCTGAACAACACATTCTACTCATTCTACAGTCTGACACTGTTGTCAGGGTTACGCTGTGTGAATCTGCACTGAATCTTTTTATTTACCTTTTGTAGAGGTTTGTAAATAAACATTCATTTATAATAAAGATAGATTATTTTTTTTAAGTACACATTAGTATAAAGTATAAATAAGTATTCTAAGTATCCAGAATACAGGTATTACTCTTTCCAAAGTAACAGAATACTAAACAAAATACATTTCTGGTCATGTATTCAATTCAATATTCTGGAAGGAAATACATTTTCACCTGTATTTAGACCTGTAGTTACACCTGTATTTACACCTGTGTTTACACCTGTGTTTACACCTGTATTTACACCTGTATTTACACCTGTATTTACACCTGTATTTACACCGGGGTTTCACCTGTATTTACACCTGTATTTACACCTGTGTTTGCACCTGTGTTTCCACCTGTATTTACACCTGTGTTTCCACCTGTATTTACACCTGTGTTTCCACCTGTATTTACACCTGTATTTACACCTGTGTTTTCACCTGTATTTACACCTGTATTTACACCTATGTTTTCACCTGTGTTTACACCTGTATTTGCACCTGAGGGGGAGGGGCTGTTTCTGATTGGATCTAAAGAGATGCTCGCTTTTGATTGGTTCAGAGTCGTGCACAGGTAACTTTGCCCATTACTGCGCTCGGCAGTGATGGCGCGTTCAGACCAAAAGCTTCAAAAAGCTTTTGACGCGCTTCAACTGACGCCGGGTCATTTTTGTCATTTTGGTGCTTGAAGCTTTTGACGCTCCTGACGCCAGTGGGAGGAGCTTCTCCGTTGCCGGTAGACCAGACACAACGGTGGATTTCCAGAGAGCAGCGAGCCTTTATTTGTTATATAAAGCCAAATAACGTTATCGTAGGGTTTCTACAAAACATGTTCTGGGTTCACCACAGACTTGAGAGGCTGCAGTGTTTGCAGAGTTTGAGTTCCCAAACCCCGGAGCTCCCCTCTCCCCGCCTCGCTCTCGGCTCTCCCTACCTCTCTCTCCCCTCTCCCCGTCTGGAGCTGCCTCGCTCTCGCCCTGAGCCAGACTCATCGTCAGCTTCTTCTTATATTAAATAAATGACTTATCCTTCACAGCATGTGTACAATGATTTTGTTACGTACTTATTAAGAACGTTACACTCATACAAATAATATTACTAATAAGAATACTGACAATAAAACAGCAGCAGTTACATGACTTCTCTCCATGACAGAGACAGACCCACAGCTGCTGCTGCTGCTGCTGCTGCTGCTGCTGCTGCTGCTGCTGCTGCTCCTTGTCTCCTGATTGGTTGAAGCCCGGGTCGAAGCTTCAAAAGCTCAGCTTTCCTCAGCTTCGGCGTCAAAGGGATTGTTGGACCCCGAAAGAGACGGAGCGTTACGCGCGTCAAAAGCTTCAAGTGTTGCGCGTATTACTTGCAACTTTTGAAGCTTTTGACGCGCGTCAAGTGACGCCGGGCCCCTCGGCGTCACTTGACGCGCTTCACCATTCACTTTCAATGCAAACCTGACGCTTTTGACGCCAAAGTTAAGTCTGGTCTGAACGCGCCATAAGTGAATAACATGGAATATATGAAGCACAGGGACCCGCCCTCTGCACCAACAGGAAACAGGAAGTGCCTCAGACTCACGGGGCTCCGTCTCTTTGAGCTCCTCGCTGTTCTCTCTCTTGAAGGACGACGACGACGACATCCTCTGGACCTGAGTGTGTCGGTTCTGCTCGTCCACCACTGAGCACACAACACACAAACACACAACACCGGTCATTCTCCGTCACTGTCAGAATGTGCAATATACAACCACGTGTCAGAATGTCTGTCCTTATATGGTCGTACCTTCCTCTCCCTGTCCTTATATGGTCGTACCTTTCTGTCTGTCTCATATGTTTGTACCTTTGCCCTCCCTGTCCGTATATGGTCGTACCTTTTCTCTCCCCGTCCTTATATAGTCGTACCTTTCCTCTCCCTGTCCTTATATGGCCGTACGTTTACTCTCTCCATCCTTTTATGATCGTACCTTCCTCTCCCTATCCTTTTATGGTCGGACCTTTTCTCTCCCCGTGTGTATATGGTTGTACCTTTGCTCTCCCTGTCCTTTTATGGCCGTACCTTTCTCCGCCTGCTCGATGATCTGTCTCAGAGCCTTCTTCAGGCTGTTGGCCCTCAGCATCAGTTGTTCTTTGGACCTGTAGGTTTTTCCGTCAGGACCGGAGTCTTCGTCACCATCTCCAGGACCAGAGTCTTCCCCGTCCTCCCCCGGGATAGAACCGGCCGGGACCACCTGGAACCGGACCAACATGAAGTCAGAGGGGAGACCAGAGAGAGAGACCAGAGAGAGAGGCCAGAGAGAGAGACCAGAGAGAGAGGCCAGAGAGAGAGACCAGAGAGAGAGACCAGAGAGAGGGACAAGAAAGAGAGACCAGAGAGAGAGACCAGAGATAGAGAGACCAGAGATAGACCAGAGATAGACCAGAAAGAGACCAGAGAGAGAGAGGCTAGACTAGAGAGAGAGACCAGAACAAATAAATCAAGATGAATAATATATGGCGGATGAGGTGTATACCCTAAACTGCTTCTATAGCCGCAGCTGCCCTGGGTCGGAGTGGATGTGACTCCCACTGACACCAGCAGATGGCAGTGATGGTCCTTGTGTCTAGAAAGAGACCAGAGAGATAGAGCAAAGAGAGACCAGAGATAGACCAGAGAGAGACCAGACAGAGACCAGAGAGACCAGAGAGAGAGCAGAGGGAGTGACCAGAGTACGTGTGTGTTCGTAAATGTGTGTGTGTGTGTGTGTGTGTCTGTGTGCGTACATGTGTATGTATATGTGTGTGTGTTACCTGGGCCTCGGCCTCTTCACTCAGAGCTTTGACCAGAGAGTCCAGCTTCTCATTCAGCAGCGCACACTGAAACACAACACAACAATCATTTTATATACGCACAGTCGTGGCCCAGTCCTGGCTCAGTCCTGGCCCAGTCCTGGCCCAGTCCTGGCTCAGTCCTGGCCCAGTCCTGGCCCAGTCCTGGCCCAGTCCTGGCCCAGTCCTGGCCCAGTCCTGGCTCAGTCCTGGCCCAGTCCTGGCTCAGTCCTGGCTCAGTCCTGGCTCAGTCCTGGCTCAGTCCTGGCTCAGTCCTGGCTCAGTCCTGGCTCAGTCCTGGCTCAGTCCTGGCTCAGTCCTGGCTTAGTCCTGGTCCATATTATTCTGATGTCTGACAGAGTGAAACTATCGCTCTCTGGATTGTGCTGATGTAACCATTGACAACTGGGGGATGGAGACTTCTAATCAGGACCAGCTCCTGAACAGGTTTATCTCACAGACCAGTGGTCACTCCACAGGTTGCCATGGTTTCCCTCACTGCTGCATGCTGGTGTACGTATTAATGACCAGAGAGACCAGAGAGAGACCAGAGAGAGACCAGAGAGAGACCAGAGAGAGAGACCAGAGAGAGGCCACAGAGAGAGACCAGAGAGAGAGACCAGAGAGAGACCAGAGACAGAGACCAGAGAGAGGCCAGAGAGAGAGACCAGAGAGAGACCAGAGAGAGAGACCAGAGAGAGACCAGAGAGAGACCAGAGAGAGGACAGAGAGAGAGACCAGAGAGAGACCAGAGAGGGAGGCCAGAGAGAGAGACCAGGGAGAGAGACCAGAGAGAGGCCAGAGAGAGACCAGAGAGACTAGAGAGAGATAAGAGAGAGAGACCAGTGAGACCAGAGAAAGAGACCAGAGAGAGAGACCAGAGAGACCAGAGAAAGAGACCAGAGAGAGAGACCAGAGAGAGACCAGAGAGAGACCAGCAAGACTAGAGAGAGATCAGAGACAGAGACCGGAGAGAGAGAGACCAGAGAGAGAGCAGATAGAGTGAGACATATGTGTTTAGATCCGTGGGCAGAGAAAGACCTTGGAGAGGCTCAGCCCACACCTCCGCTGCCCACGGCCTGCGCCTACACAGCTCTTACATAACACACTCGTCCACAGAGACCGATTCTGGTTCTATCTGACTGTGATATTTATGTCATGGACATAAGGATTTCCACTGCAGGGATTTTAAAAAGCCATGCAAGAAACTCAGACCAGAAAGAGAGCACAAAGAGCAGAGAGAGAGAGAGCAGAGAGTGAGAGCAAGAGAGAGAGAGAGAACAGGGAGAGAGAGAGAGAGCACAGGAAGAGAGAGAGAGAAGAGAGACCAGAGAGAGAGAGAGAGAGAGAGCAGAGAGCGAGAGCAGAGAGAGTGAGAGCAAGAGAGAGAGAGAGCACAGGAAGAGAGAGAGAGAAGAGAGAGAGAGAGAGAGAGAAAAACCAGTGAGAGGGAGCAGACACCGAGCAGAGAGACCAGAGAGAGACCAGAGAGAGAGACCAGAGAGAGACCAGAGAGAGACCAGAGAGAGAGACCAGAGAGAGACCAGAGAGAGACGAGAGAGAGACCAGAGAGAGACCAGAGAGAGACCAGAGAGAGACCAGAGAGAGACCAAAGAGAGACCAGAGAGAGACCAGAGAGAGACCAGAGAGAGAGACCAGAGAGAGAGAGACCAGAGAGAGAGAGACCAGAGAGAGAGAGACCAGAGAGAGACCAGAGAGAGATCAGAGAGAGACCAAAGAGAGACCAAAGAGAGACCAAAGAGAGAGACCAGAGAGAGAGACCAGAGAGAGACCAAAGAGAGACCAGAGAGAGAGACCAGAGAGAGAGACCAGAGAGAGACCAGAGAGAGACCAGAGAGAGACCAGAGAGAGACCAGAGAGAGACCAAAGAGAGACCAAAGAGAGACCAAAGAGAGAGACCAGAGAGAGAGACCAGAGAGAGAGACCAAAGAGAGACCAGAGAGAGAGACCAGAGAGAGACCAGAGAGAGACGAGAGAGAGACCAGAGAGAGACCAGAGAGAGACCAGAGAGAGGCCAAAGAGAGACCAAAGAGAGACCAAAGAGAGACCAAAGAGAGACCAGAGAGAGACCAGAGAGAGACCAGAGAGAGACCAGAGAGAGATCAGAGAGAGACCAAAGAGAGACCAGAGAGAGACCAGAGAGAGAGACCAAAGAGAGACCAGAGAGAGACCAGAGAGAGACCAGAGAGAGACCAGAGAGAGACCAGAGAGAGGTTTGTACCTTCTTGGCCATGGCGTCTGCCTCCTCCTTGTTCTCCGTCGCTCTCTCATACGCTTTTCCCACTTCTGCCACAAACTCGTTCACGGTTCCACAGAGAAACCTGAGACACAGGAAAAGAACAATCGTCAACGAGAAGAAGAAATATGTCAAAGCCTGGTCCCTCACGCTCTCTGGTCCCTCACGCTCTCTGGTCCCTCACGCTCTCTGGTCCCTCACGCTCTCTGGTCCCTCACGCTCTCTGGTCCTCACGCTCTCTGGTCCTCACGCTCTCTGGTCCCTCACGCTCTCTGTCCCTCACGCTCTCTGGTCCTCACGCTCTCTGGTCCCTCACGCTCTCTGGTCCCTCACGCTCTCTGGTCCCTCACGCTCTCTGGTCCCTCACGCTCTCTGGTCCCTCACGCTCTCTGGTCCTCCTCTGGTCCCTCACGCTCTGTCCTCACGCTCTTGGTCCCTCACGCTCTCTGGTCCCTCACGCTCTCTGGTCCCTCACGCTCTCTGGTCCCTCACGCTCTCTGGTCCCTCACGCTCTCTGGTCCCTCACGCTCTCTGGTCCCTCTCGCTCTCTGGTCCCTCTCGCTCTCTGGTCCCTCTCGCTCTCTGGTCCCTCACGCTCTCTGGTCTCTCTCTCTCTTGGGTCTCTCTCTCTCTTGGGTCTCTCTCTCTCGGTTCTCTCTCTCTCTCTCTCTCTGGTCTTTCTCTAGTCTCTCTGGTCTCTCTCTCTCTCTGGTCTCTCTCTAGTCTCTCTCTAGTCTCTCTCTAGTCTCTCTGGTCTCTCTCTCTCTGGTCTCTCTCTCTCTCTGGTCTCTCTCTCTCTCTCTGGTCTCTCTCTCTCTCTGGTCTCTCTCTCTCTCTGGTCTCTCTCTCTCTCTGGTCTCTCTCTAGTCTCTCTTGGGTCTTGTGTGAAAGTGAAAGTACCCACTTGGCGGAGGAGATGACGTCGCTGTGTTTGTCCGAGTCCAGGATCTTGGCGAGATGCGAGGCCACGGAGTCTGCGTACTGAGTGATGTGGACCTGGAACACAACGAGATCCACTGAAGCATTCGACCACAAACCAGAGAGAGAGACCAGAGAGAGAGACCAGAGAGAGAGACCAGAGAGAGAGACCAGAGAGAGAGACCAGAGAGAGAGACCAGCGAGAGAGACTAGGGAGAGAGACCAGGGAGAGAGACCAGAGAGAGAGACCAGCGAGAGAGACTAGGGAGAGAGACCAGGGAGAGAGACCAGAGAGAGAGACCAGAGAGAGAGACCAGAGAGAGAGACCAGAGAGAGAGACCAGCGAGAGAGACTAGGGAGAGAGACCAGGGAGAGAGACCAGGGTGAGAGACCAGAGAGAGAGACCAGCGAGAGAGACCAGCGAGAGAGACCAGAGAGAGAGACTAGGGAGAGAGACTAGGGAGAGAAACCAGGGAGAGAGACCAGAGAGAGAGAGCAGAGAGAGAGACCAGAGAGAGAGACCAGGGAGAGAGACCAGGGAGAGACCAGAGAGAGACCAGAGAGAGACCAGAAAGAGAGACCAGGGAGAGAGAGACCAGGGAGAGAGACCAGAGAGAGAGAGCAGAGAGAGAGACCAGGGAGAGAGACCAGAGACAGGAGACCAGAGAGAGAGACCAGGGAGAGGAGAGACCAACGAGAGAGACCAGAGGGAGAGACCAGAGAGAGGGACCAGAGAGAGGGACCAGAGAGAGGGACCAGAGAGAGAGACCAGGGAGAGAGACCAGGGAGAGAGACCAGGGAGAGAGACCAGGGAGAGAGACCAGAGAGAGAGACCAGGGAGAGCGAGACCAACGAGAGCGAGACCAGGGAGAGAGACCAGAGAGAGAGACCAGAGAGAGAGACCAGAGAGAGAGACCAGAGAGAGAGACCAGAGAGAGAGACCAGAGAGAGAGACCAGAGAGAGAGACCAGAGAGAGAGAGCAGAGAGAGAGACCAGCAAGAGAGACCAGAGAGAGAGACCGGGGAGAGAAACCAGAAAGAGAAAGACCAGAGAGAGAGACCAGAGAGAGAGACCAGAGAGAGAGACCAGGGAGAGAGACCAGGGAGAGAGACCAGGGAGAGACCAGAGAGAGACCAGAAAGAGAGACCAGGGAGAGAGAGACCAGGGAGAGAGACCAGATAGAGAGAGCAGAGAGAGAGACCAGGGAGAGAGACCAGAGACAGGAGACCAGAGAGAGAGACCAGGGAGAGGAGACCAGGGAGAGAGAGACCAACGAGAGAGACCAGAGAGAGGGACCAGAGAGAGGGACCAGAGAGAGGGACCAGAGAGAGGGACCAGGGAGAGAGACCAGGGAGAGAGACCAGGGAGAGAGACCAGAGAGAGAGACCAGAGAGAGAGACCAGGGAGAGCGAGACCAACGAGAGAGACCAGGGAGAGAGACCAGAGAGAGAGACCAGAGAGAGAGAGCAGAGAGAGAGACCAGAGAGAGAGACCAGAGAGAGAGACCAGAGAGAGAGAGCAGAGAGAGAGAGCAGAGAGAGAGAGCAGAGAGAGAGACCAGAGAGAGAGACCAGAGAGAGAGACCAGAGAGAGAGACCAGAGAGAGAGACCAGAGAGAGAGAGCAGAGAGAGAGCAGAGAGAGAGAGCAGAGAGAGAGACCAGAGAGAGAGACCAGAGAGAGAGACCAGAGGAGGAGGTGGTCACCTGCAGAGGAGAGTCCAGGTCCTCCTCCTTCAGGATCGGCTGCAGTTTGGACGTGGACAGAACCTCGTACGACATCACACTCCATCTGACAACACAGAGTCACTGTCAGCATGTACAACGAACACACCTCATCTGTGTAGAGAGAGATCAGAGAGAGACCAGAGGGAGACCAAAGAGAGGGACCAGAGAGAGAGAGAGAGACCACAGAGAGACCAGAGAGAGACCAGAGAGAGACCAGAGAGAATCACATTAAAATGGACCTCAGTTTATCATTAAGGTAAGCTAAAGGAAAGAGCAGCCCCTGAAGACAATACTTTTGTTTTAAAGGAACAGGCCACCGTGTTTACATACTGGCACATGTTCTTACCTTAGACATGTTGATATGATGTCTGGTCTGTGTCCGTGCGCTCTGTCATGCAAACGCAGCACAAACACAGCCTCTTCCACAGACTGTATAGTTCCAAATCAGCTCCTGTTAGAAGCTCCCAAACTCTTCCACGTGTTCCCTTTTTAAATACAGTTAAAGACTTCTCTCCCGCTCACTTCCGTCAACAGAAGCAGCGTGAGCGGCAGAGAAGTCTTTAGGAGTTAGTGCGCGGACATAGCGCTCCTCGTATTATTACGCCTCACAATATAGTTCCCCTTTTTATCCGCTGAGAAAATGGACATGTTACATTTGTGTGTTACTATACTTTGTAGAGTAACACGTCACGTAACTGTATTTAAAAAGGGAACACGTGGAAGAGTTTGGGAGCTTCTAACAGGAGCTGATTTGGAACTATACAGTCTGTGGAAGAGGCTGTGTTTGTGCTGCGTTTGCATGACAGAGCACACGGACACAGACCAGACAGGTACATATCAACATGTCTAAGGTAAGAACATGTGTCAGTATGGAAACACGGTGGCCTGTTCCTTTAAAAAGGCAGATATCAGCATGGACGGGTCCTAAAGCAGCTGCAGGTCTGCGTTGATGGTACAGGTCTGAGTTGATGGTACAGGTCTGCGTTGATGGTACAGGTCTGCGTTGATGGTACAGGTCTGTGTTGATGGTACAGGTCTGCGTTGATGGTACAGGTCTGTGTTGATGGTACAGGTCTGTGTTGATGGTACAGGTCTGTGTTGATGGGAACAGTGTTGGAGATAATTATTTCCAAGGCTGTGGCCTTGCGAAGGGAAGACTCTTGGGGAGAAAACCTGCTAAAGCGACTTTCTGTTAATTTGCTCTTCGGGGAATGTCTTTAAAGAAACTCAGTGGGAGAGAAACTCTGGAGCTGAGACCAAAATAACACAAGAGGAAGGAGGATCCCAGCTTTCAGACCAGAGAGAGACCAGAGAGAGACCAGAGAGAGGCCAGAGAGAGACCAGAGAGAGACCAGAGAGAGACCAGAGAGAGACCAGAGAGAGGCCAGAGAGAGACCAGAGAGAGACCAGAGAGAGACCAGAGAGAGACCAGAGAGAGACCAGAGAGAGACCAGAGAGAGGCCAGAGAGAGACCAGAGAGAGGCCAGAGAGAGACCAGAGAGAGGCCAGAGAGAGACCAGAGAGAGACCAGAGAGAGGCCAGAGAGAGACCAGAGAGAGGCCAGAGAGAGACCAGAGAGAGACCAGAGAGAGACCAGAGAGAGGCCAGAGAGAGACCAGAGAGAGACCAGAGAGAGGCCAGAGAGAGACCAGAGAGAGGCCAGAGAGAGACCAGAGAGAGACCAGAGAGAGACCAGAGAGAGACCAGAGAGAGACCAGAGAGAGACCAGAGAGAGACCAGAGAGAGACCAGAGAGAGACCAGAGAGAGACCAGAGAGAGGCCAGAGAGAGCCCAGAGAGAGGCCAGAGAGAGACCAGAGAGAGACCAGAGAGAGACCAGAGAGAGACCAGAGAGAGGCCAGAGAGAGACCAGAGAGAGACCAGAGAGAGACCAGAGAGAGACCAGAGAGAGACCAGAGAGAGGCCAGAGAGAGGCCAGAGAGAGGCCAGAGAGAGACCAGAGAGAGGCCAGTGAGAGACCAGTGAGAGACCAGTGGGAGCCCATGCTGCAGGTCTGTGTTGATGGTGCAGTCACAGTGGAGTTGGTCTTTGGTCTAAATCAGAGGTGGGCAATTATTTTCTCCTGGGGCCACGTTGAGTGTAAGCAGCGTCAGTTGAAATGTGACAACGCATGTATTGAAGGAGAGAGAAACCTGAGGATGAAATGTAAGCTCTCTACATTTGTTTGAACCTTTCACAGAATGCGAAGGATATTATTTGGAGATGTTCTTAGTGACAATTCTTGGTTGGATTGAACTAAAACTGGACTAAAGCTAAAGAAGGCTCAGTTCTATGGTTTTTACTTGTCTGCCATCTTGGTGTTGTCCATGTTATCATGTTTTTACCTGTCGGCCATCTTGGTATTGTCTATGTCATAATGTTTTTACCTGTCTGCCATCTTGGTGTTGTCCATATTATTATGCTATTACCTGTCGGCCATCTTGGTATTGTCCATGTTATTATGTTTTTTCTTGTCGGCCACCTTGGTGTTATCCATGTAATCATATTTTTACTTGTCGGCCATCTTGGTGTTTTCCATGTTATTATGCTTTTACCTGTCGAGCATCTTGGTGGTGGCGCGCTCCAGTTTCTCCAAGATCTGCAGCAGTTGTGCGTCGTCATCACACAGACCTCCCCAGCCCAGAACCCGAGCCAGGTCGTTCCCCGTGCCCAGAGGCAGGACCCCCAGCTGACACTGAACAAGAGAGATGACAAGGACCAGGTCAATCACAGAGTCCTCATCAGGTCAACCACAGAGTCGTCAGGTCAACCACAGAGTCCTCAGGTCAATCACAGAGTCCTCAGGTCAACCACAGAGTCCTCAGGTCAACCACAGAGTCCTCAGGTCAACCACAGAGTCTTCAGGTCAACCACAGAGTCCTCAGGTCAATCACAGAGTCCTCAGGTCAATCACAGAGTCTTCAGGTCAATCACAGAGTCCTCAGGTCAATCACAGAGTCCTCAGGTCAATCACAGAGTCCTCAGGTCAATCACAGAGTCCTCAGGTCAATCACAGAGTCTTCAGGTCAATCACAGAGTCTTCAGGTCAATCACAGAGTCCTCAGGTCAATCACAGAGTCTTCAGATCAATCACAGAGTCCTCAGGTCAATCACAGAGTCCTCAGGTCAACCACAGAGTCCTCAGGTCAACCACAGAGTCCTCAGGTCAACCACAGAGTCCTCAGGTCAACCACAGAGTCCTCAGGTCAACCACAGAGTCCTCAGGTCAACCACAGAGTCCTCAGGTCAATCACAGAGTCCTCAGGTCAATCACAGAGTCCTCAGGTCAATCACAGAGTCCTCAGGTCAATCACAGAGTCCTCAGGTCAATCACAGAGTCGTCAGGTCAATCACAGAGTCCTCAGAATCACAGAGTCCTCAGGTCAATCACAGAGTCCTCAGGTCAATCACAGAGTCCTGGTCTTTGAATGCACTGGAAACAGCAGCGAGTTCTAAGTGGCTAACTGTTGATTCTCTGATCTGTGTTGGTGAACGGTTTTGTCAAGTCCTCTGAGACACTACAGTTGGGATTTAGGGCGATACAAGAATACATTGAATTGAAATGTTGTATTGTGTTTTACATTGTTATTTTATTGCTTTTTTTTGCTGTTACTGCAGTAAAGTGTTCATGGTTTGACACTGGTCCAGACCAGAGCAGAGAAAATGGCCCCAACCAAACAGATCAGATGGAACTCCACTGGAGGAACGCTGATCTTTATAAAAAATGCTAACAAAACAAAAAAATCACTCTGAACCAGAGCAGAGAAATGGTCCGAAACAAGCAGACTCTGCAAACATCAACCAGAGGAAGCAGCTCAGCACCAGCGACGGCACTTTATTAATATTGTTAGTAACTTTTAGATTAATGTATTTATTTGTTTGTTTGGGTGGATGTGTTCCTGCTGCTGCACACCTGCTTTTCTAACTAGAATCATTGGTCTCGTCTCTTTCTGACTTTCTGACCTGCTTGTGGAGGTTGAGTTTATCGAGTTCAGACAGGACCCAGCCCACGCTCCCGTCTCCTCCACAGACCAGGATCCGGAACGTGGGAAACTTCTGGAAAAGACGGAGGCTGCGGACACACAACAGAAGAAGACACAGTTACACACACACACACACACGGTTATCTGTCAAAACACAACCACAAACAAACTCTGGCTGGGAATTGGCAAAAATTGGACGATTTGTTAGTATCGCGATATTTGGGCCACCCTTTAACATATCGCGATACAGACAGTATTACGATTCGATTCTGTGATAAATTGTGATTCATGTCCCCCATATTATTCAAGAACTTTACAAACATGGAGGAAAATAGAATAACCTCAGCTGTAAATTACCAAAGGAAACACTAAAAAGTGAAACAGATCATTAATCAATTAAACATTGCGATACTTTTCTATGATATTGATTTAATTATGTGCGCAAAATATCGCGATACTGAACAGAATCGATTTTTTTCCGGCTGAAATACTGAAATATAATTACACAACAGAAGCACAAACTATCCACACAAACAGTCCGAGCACATTGGATTGTTCATGGGGTTTGGAAAGAGGAAGGAGCAGCAGTCTAACCCGAGCTCTGGGCCCCCGTTCATCAGGTCGAACACTTGCGCCGGGTTCAGCAGCTGTTTGAACTTGCGCAGGAACTTGACGCCCTGGTTGTCTCCGCTCTTGGAGTTGACGAGGACCAGGAGCGGACTGGAGCAGGAGGCCGAGGCGGCGTTCCAGAACCCTGAGGGGAGACCAGAACCATCAGAGACACGGACCACAGAACCATCAGAGACACGGACCACAGAACCATTACGGACCACAGAACCACCAGAGACATGGACCACAGAACCATCAGAGACACGGACCACAGAACCATTACGGACCACAGAACCTCCAGAGACATGGACCACAGAACCACCAGAGACATGGACCACAGAACCAGCAGAGACACGGACCACAGAACCATTACGGACCACAGAACCACCAGAGACATGGACCACAGAACCATCAGAGACACGGACCACAGAACCATTACGGACCACAGAACCATCAGAGACACGGACCACAGAACCATTACGGACCACAGAACCACCAGAGACATGGACCACAGAACCATCAGAGACACGGACCACAGAACCATTACGGACCACAGAACCTCCAGAGACATGGACCACAGAACCACCAGAGACATGGACCACAGAACCATCAGAGACACGGACCACAGAACCATTACGGACCACAGAACCTCCAGAGACATGGACCACAGAACCACCAGAGACATGGACCACAGAACCAGCAGAGACACGGACCACAGAACCATCAGAGACCACAGAACCATCAGAGACACGGACCACAGAACCATCACGGACCACAGAACCACCAGAGACACGGACCACAGAACCATCAGAGACACGGACTACAGAACTACCAGAGACATGGACCACAGAACCATCAGAGACACGAACCACAGAACCATTACGGACCACAGAACCACCAGAGACATGGACCACAGAACCACCAGAGACATGGACCACAGAACCACCAGAGACATGGACCACAGAACCAGCAGAGACACGGACCACAGAACCATCAGAGACCACAGAACCATCAGAGACACGGACCACAGAACCATCACGGACCACAGAACCACCAGAGACACGGACCACAGAACCACCAGAGACACGGACCACAGAACCACCAGAGACACGGACCACAGAACCATCAGAGACACGGACCACAGAACCACCAGAGACACGGACCACAGAACCATCACGGACCATAGAACCATCAGAGACACGGACCACAGAACCATCAAAGACAAAGACCACAGACCCGTCAGAGGTGCTAGTCTCACTCTCTCCCTCCGGCCTCTCCCTCCGGCCTCTCCCTCCGGCCTCTCCCTCCGGCCTCTCCCTCCGGTCTCTCCCTCTGGCCTCTCCCTCTGGCCTCTCCCTCCGGCCTCTCCCTCCGGCCTCTCCCTCCGGCCTCTCCCTCCGGCCTCTCCCTCCGGCCTCTCCCTCCGGTCTCTCCCTCCGGTCTCTCCCTCCGGCCTCTCCCTCCGGCCTCTCCCTCCGGCCTCTCCCTCCGGCCTCTCTCTCCGGCCTCTCTCTCCGGCCTCTCCCTCTGGCCTCTCCCTCTGGCCTCTCCCTCTGGCCTCTCCCTCTGGCCTCTCCCTCTGGCCTCTCCCTCTGGCCTCTCCCTCTGGCCTCTCTCTCTGGCCTCTCCCTCTGGCCTCTCCCTCTGGCCTCTCCCTCTGGCCTCTCCCTCTGGCCTCTCCCTCTGGCCTCTCCCTCTGGCCTCTCCCTCTGGCCTCTCCCTCTGGCCTCTCCCTCTGGCCTCAACAATAAGTATTTCTATTTTAAAGCTTGAATACCTCACTTTTTGCTTTCATAATTGACACATGTAGAAAGAACTTGTGGAATTAAAATTAACAAATCATCATCTCATTAGAAAACATGTTTTTTGTGCAAGAAAGATCCCTGTAGGTCACTTTTGGACTCTTTGGGCTGAGAGCTGATTGGCTGAGTGAGGCTGGTCTCTCTCTTTTCACTTTTCTGTCTGAAAAAGCGGATCTAAAAACATGACAGAGGCCAGAAGTACATGGTGTGAAAACTAGTGATAGAAGTGAACGGTTTTAGAATCAGGAACTGGAGACTTTTTATTACAGAGTTCTGTTGTTGTGGTTTGAATGTTCCTTCCTCCAGCCCCAGTCAGAGATGGATGGAGAGAGATACTGCATTGATACCCCATGATGGTGTCCGGCAGCAGAACCACACACACACACACACACACACACACACACACACACACACACACACACACACACACACAGTTGCGTTGGGATCTGACCGTCTGAGTCGATGCTGTTGAGGGCGGTGGGGGGGATGATGGAGACCCGGTACTGGCCCAGAGGACACACCTTCCCCAGCTGCTCCTTACAACTGTTGTGGACCTGGCAACACAAACGCAACACAGCTGGGGTTCAAGGTTCACACACACACACACACACAAATACACACACACACACACAGACACATAAATACACACACACACAGTAACACACAGAAACAGACACACACACACAGACACAGACACACACACACACACACACACACACACGGGACACTCACGATGGCCTTGCACCAGAGGCAGCGCCAGTCCTGCAGCCGCCGCACGCTCCCACAGTTACGGTCACACACCACACACCGGGCGCTCACCGGCAGGTTCCCCTCCAGCCACTGGTGAGGCATGGACACCTGAGGGACAGGGCGGGTCTGAGACGGGTCTGAGACGGGTCTGAGACGGGTCTGAGACGGGTCTGAGACGGGTCTGAGACGGGTCTGAGACGGGTCTGAGACGGGTCTGAGACAGGTCTAAACATGGTCCAAGACAGGTCTAAGGCAGGTCTAAGGCAGGTCTAAGACAGGTCTAAGACAGGTCTAAGACAGGTCTGAGACAGGTCTAAGACAGGTCTAAACATGGTCCAAGACAGGTCTGAAACATGTCTAAACATGGTCCAAAACAGGTCTGAGACAGGTCTGAGACAGGTCCGAGACAGGTCTGAGACAGGTCTAAACATGGTCCAAGACAGGTCTAAGGCAGGTCTAAGGCAGGTCTAAGACAGGTCTAAGACAGGTCTAAGACAGGTCTAAGACAGGTCTAAGACAGGTCTAAACATGGTCCAAGACAGGTCTGAAACAGGTCTAAACATGGTCCAAAACAGGTCTGAGACAGGTCTGAGACAGGTCCGAGACAGGTCTGAGACAGGTCTAAACATGGTCCAAGACAGGTCTAAGGCAGGTCTAAGGCAGGTCTAAGACAGGTCTAAGACAGGTCTAAGACAGGTCTAAGACAGGTCTAAACATGGTCTAAGGCAGGTCTGAGACAGGTCTAAACATGGTCTAAGGCAGGTCTGAGACAGGTCTAAACATGGTCCAAGACAGGTCTGAAACAGGTCTAAACATGGTCCAAAACAGGTCTGAGACAGGTCTGAGACAGGTCTGAGACAGGTCTGAGACAGGTCTGAAACAGGTCTGAGACAGGTCTGAGACAGGTCTGAGACAGGTCTGAAACAGGTCTGAGACAGGTCTGAGACAGGTCTGAGACAGGTCTGAGACAGGTCTGAGACAGGTCTAAACATGGTCCAAGACAGGTCTGAAACAGGTCTAAACATGGTCCAAAACAGGTCTGAGACAGGTCTGAGACAGGTCTAGGCATGGTCCAAAACAGAAGACCTTGTTTTCTTGTTTACGGTTTATAAAGCCATTAGAACATGAGTGAACTTCAGGTACAGTGTATATTTATTTGAAGTGCTGCTAAGAGCTAATGCTAACGGCTACGTGCTACATGCTATTGGTGTGCTATAACCGTGTACATGATGCGTTCCTTAAGTTAAGTTGCCCATTCTAATGTAGACTTTCTCTGTTGTTTGCAGGACCACACACACACACACACACACACACACACATAAATACTGAGCCACAAACATATATATACTTGTTGTAAATCATTGAAGAACTTTTAATAAACCCAAAAAACTGGATCATCTCTACGCAGCACAGTCTCACCGATGATCCCTGGTCCCTCAGCCTAACCCTAGTCATTTTTTTCTTTAAGTTCGGGGAAATCCTCCAATAACCCCGGTCCTGAACCGCACAGACCCCGGTCCTGAACCGCAGACCCCCGGTCCTGAACCGCACAGACCCCGGTCCTGAACCGCACAGACCCCGGTCCTGAACCGCACAGACCCCGGTCCTGAACCGCACAGACCCCGGTCCTGAACCGCACAGACCCCGGTCCTGAACCGCACAGACCCCGGTCCTGAACCGCACAGACCCCGGTCCAGAACCACAGACCCCGGTCCAGAACCACAGACCCCGGTCCTCACCCCGTCCTCGTCCTCGATGATGTCGTTTCCGATCGAGGCCAACGTGGTCCATTTACAGTTGTTTGTGGAACGAACGGCGCAGCGTTTGTGAGCTTTGAACTTACAGACTGTGGACACAAATGTAACCATGTTATTATCACAGGGACTGAGCAGCACAGGGACTGAGCAGCACAGGGACTGAGCAGCACAGGGACTGAGCAGCACAGGGACTGAGCAGCACAGGGACTGAGCAGCACAGGGACTGAGGAGCACACAGGGACTGAGCAGCACAGGGACTGAGCAGCACAGGGACTGAGCAGCACAGGCTGAGGGACTGAGCAGCACAGGGACTGAGCAGCACAGGGACTGAGCAGCACAGGGACTGAGCAGCACAGGGACTGAGCAGCACAGGGACTGAGCAGCACAGGGACTGAGCAGCACAGGGACTGAGCAGCACAGGGACTGAGCAGCACAGGGACTGAGCAGCACAGGGACTGAGCAGCACAGGGACTGAGCAGCACAGGGACTGAGCAGCACAGGGACTGAGGAGCACAGGGACTGAGCAGCACAGGGACTGAGGAGCACAGGGACTGAGCAGCACAGGGACTGGCCTCCTGCTGGTCCCAGAGTCAGGACTAAACATGCGGAGGCAGTGCTTCAGATTCATGCTGCTAAAATCTGGAACAATCTTCCTGAAAATGTGAGACAGGCTTCTTCTTTGTTTAAATCCAGGTTAAAAACAATTTTGTTTCTGCAACAACTGAAGGAATTTATCTTTACTCTTCTTAACGTACTGTGATCATTTATGAGTCTGTGCGAGTCCGTGAGAGTCCGTGAGAGTCCGTGAGAGTCCGTGAGAGTCCGTGAGAGTCCGTGAGAGTCGTGAGGTCCGTGAGAGTCCGTGAGAGTCCGTGAGAGTCCGTGAGAGTCCGTGAGAGTCCGTGTGAGTCCGTGAGAGTCCGTGAGAGTCCGTGAGAGTCCGTGAGAGTCCGTGAGAGTCTGTGTGAGTCCGTGAGAGTCCGTGAGAGTCCGTGAGAGTCCGTGAGAGTCTGTGTGAGTCCGTGAGAGTCCGTGAGAGTCCGTGAGAGTCTGTGTGAGTCCGTGAGAGTCCGTGAGAGTCCGTGAGAGTCTGTGTGAGTTTGTGAGAGTCTGTGAGAGTCTGTGAGAGTCAGTGAGAGTCCGTGTGAGTTTGTGAGAGTCTGTGAGAGTCTGTGAGAGTCTGTGAGAGTCCGTGAGAGTCCGTGAGAGTTTGTGAGAGTTTGTGAGAGTCTGTGAGAGTCTGTGTGAGTCTGTGAGAGTTTGTGAGAGTCTGTGAGAGTCTGTGAGAGTCTGTGAGAGTCCGTGAGAGTTTGTGAGAGTTTGTGAGAGTCTGTGAGAGTCTGTGAGAGTCTGTGTGAGTCTGTGTGAGTTTGTGAGAGTCTGTGAGAGTCTGTGAGAGTCTGTGAGAGTCTGTGTGAGTCTGTGTGAGTTTGTGAGAGTCTGTGAGAGTCTGTGAGAGTCTGTGAGAGTCTGTGTGAGTCTGTGTGAGTTTGTGAGAGTCTGTGAGAGTCTGTGAGAGTTTGTGAGAGTTTGTGAGAGTCTGTGAGAGTTTGTGAGAGTTTGTGAGAGTCTGTGAGAGTCTGTGAGAGTCTGTGAGAGTCTGTGTGAGTCCGTGAGAGTCCGTGTGAGTCTGTGAGAGTCTGTGAGAGTCTGTGAGAGTCCGTGAGAGTCCGTGAGAGTCTGAGAGTCCGTGAGAGTCTGTGAGAGTCTGTGAGAGTCTGTGAGAGTCTGTGAGAGTCTGTGAGAGTCTGTGAGAGTCCGTGAGAGTCCGTGAGAGTCTGTGTGAGTTTGTGTCTGTCTGTGTCTTGTGTATGAGCTGTGCTATACAAAAAAAGCCTGACTTTGGTCTTCAGTCCGAGGTCACGTGTGTGGTTTATATTCACTTCTAAAATGTACGTTTGCAGTTATTAATAAAGTCTCCATCATTACACACACATCACTTCTTCTTTTCACTTTCTGTGTGTAGTGTGTGCGACATGTGCATGTAGTGTGTGTAAAGTGTGTGTAAAGTGTGCGTCACTTCGGGTCAAGGGCGAGGACTTTCTCTGAGTTGTGTAACGTGTGAAGTCCGGAGTGAGCGGCACACAAACCCAGTCATAAACGGCTCTGATCTGATGTCCTTCTGCAGAGGCCTGTGATGTCACACTCTGCTCTGGTGCATCCTCCCTCATGATGACGTCATCGTGAGGGAGACTGTAGCTTAGACATAACCCGATGGCAGGGGGAGGGGTGTGTGTGTGTGTATGTGTGTGTGTATCAGTGTGTGTACCTTCACAGGACAGGCCGTGGGAGGTGACTCCTGGTGTGTGTGTGTGTGTATCAGTGTGTGTACCTTCACAAGACAGGCCGTATGAGGTGACTCCTGGTGTGTGTGTGTGTGTGTGTGTATCTGTGTGTGTGTATCAGTGTGTGTACCTTCACAGGACAGGCCGTATGAGGTGACTCCTGGTGTGTGTGTGTGTGTGTGTGTGTATCTGTGTGTGTGTATCAGTGTGTGTACCTTCACAGGACAGGCCGTGGGAGGTGACTCCTGGTAAAGCTTCTCTGCAGACGTTACAGAACGTGGGGCGAGCGTGAGAACAGGCGTACCAGTTATGCATCCCACTGAAGTGCTCCATGTTGAACTGACTGGCCTGGACACACACACACACACATATGTTAGACACACACACACACGTTAGACACACACACATCCCACTGAAGTGCTCCATGTTGAACTGACTGGCCTGGACACACACACACACACATGTTAGACACACACACACACGTTAGACACACACACATCCCACTGAAGTGCTCCATGTTGAACTGACTGGCCTGGACACACACACACACACATGTTAGACACACACACACACGTTAGACACACACACATCCCACTGAAGTGCTCCATGTTGAACTGACTGGCCTGGACACACACACACACACACACATGTTAGACACACACACACATGTTAGACACACACACATCCCACTGAAGTGCTCCATGTTGAACTGACTGGCCTGGACACACACACACATGTTAGACACACACACACACACACACACATGTTAGACACACACACACACACACATGTTAGACACACACACACACACACGTTAGACACACACACACAGTATCTGGTATCGGCCGGTACCATAGACTTGTGCTCGTACCATTGGACCCGATGGCGGAACCAATGCCAACAATTTTAATTCCCATCAGCGTCACAACAGCAGACAGCTGTGCGGCAAGTGTTGCCATGGTGATTTGCAGCAAGAAAACACTTGCTACTAGCTTAGCCGCTAGCTTAGCTTAGCCAATAGCTTAGCAGCAAGCAGATGTCTGCCTTGTGGCAGTTTTTTTAAGTAAATGAAAGTGACAAGAGTAAAACAGACTGTACATTGTGTAAAACCGTCTCAAGGTGGATCCAAAACAAACAAGTATAACACCAGCAACTTCAACAAACATCTGAAAACTGGTATAGCCCCTTTGCTAGCCCCGGAGCGGGCACCGGAGCGGGCACCGGAGCGGGCACCGGAGCGGGCACCGGAGCGGGCACCGGAGCGGGCACCGGAGCAGAAAAACAACCATCTGTGAGTAGAATATGACAGTGGCTCTTGATGACCGTTAAAACAGTTACTAAAATGTTTCATTGTTAAAGCATTTTCTTATTGTTGAAATGAGAAATAAAACATTTTAAATTTCAGTTGTATTAGTTTTATGAATTCCTTGGAAAAGACAATGCAGTAATATTTACAGTCTATGTGCAGTACTTGTATCAGTACTCGGTATCGGTAAGTACTCAGAATAAGGTACTCATACTTTATACAACTGGTTTTGAAAAGAGTGGTATGGGTTCATCCCTAATAGACACACACAGGCACACACACACACACACAGAGACACACACAAACACACACTGAGACACACACAGAGACACACACCTCGTAAGTCTCCCACTTCTGCACAGACTTGAGCGCTCCGATCCAGTCCTCCATCTCTTTGCGGCTCTCTGCACACAGCATCAGCTTCCTGAACGGAGTGATCACCTGGAAACACACAAACCAGGAAGAAAACACTTAAACCAGGAAGAAGAACCAGGAACAACACACTTAAACCAGGAAGAAGAACACACAAACCAGGAAAAACACACTTAAACCAGGAAGAAGAGCACACTGAACCATGGATCTATAATAATATCTGGATAGGGTATTACTAGCTTATATCTGTCCCACCCATGGCCACAGGGGGCGCTGTGGTACTGCAGACTACATTCACATTACCCAGAAAAATGTCCCATAGAAACCAATGTAAACTAAAACAGCTCAACCTCAGCTGACAGAGAACCTGACAGAGAACCTGACAGAGAACCTGACAGAGAGCCTGACAGAGAGCCTGACAGAGAGCCTGACAGAGAGCCTGACAGAGAGCCTGACAGAGAACCTGACAGAGAACCTGACAGAGAACCTGACAGAGAACCTGACAGAGAACCTGACAGAGAACCTGACAGAGAACCTGACAGAGAACCTGACAGAGAACCTGACAGAGACCCTGACAGAGAGCCTGACAGAGAGCCTGACAGAGAACCCGACAGAGAACCTACAGAGAGCCTGACAGAGAACCTGACAGAGAACCTGACAGAGACCCTGACAGAGAACCTGACAGAGAGCCTGACAGAGAACCTACAGAGAGCCTGACAGAGAGCCTGACAGAGAACCTGACAGAGAGCCTGACAGAGAACCTGACAGAGAGCCTGACAGAGACCCTGACAGAGAGCCTGACAGAGACCCTGACAGAGAGCCTGACAGAGAACCTGACAGAGAACCTGACAGAGACCCTGACAGAGAGCCTACAGAGAACCTGACAGAGAGCCTGACAGAGAACCTGACAGAGAACCTGACAGAGACCCTGACAGAGAGCCTGACAGAGAGCCTGACAGAGAACCTGACAGAGAACCTGACAGAGAACCTGACAGAGAACCTACAGAGAGCCTGACAGAGAACCTGACAGAGAACCTGACAGAGAACCTGACAGAGACCCTGACAGAGAGCCTGACAGAGAGCCTGACAGAGAACCTGACAGAGAACCTGACAGAGAACCTGACAGAGAACCTGACAGAGACCCTGACAGAGAGCCTGACAGAGAGCCTGACAGAGAACCTGACAGAGAACCTGACAGAGAACCTACAGAGAGCCTGACAGAGAACCTGACAGAGAACCTGACAGAGACCCTGACAGAGAACCTGACAGAGAGCCTGACAGAGAACCTACAGAGAGCCTGACAGAGAGCCTGACAGAGAACCTGACAGAGAACCTGACAGAGAACCTGACAGAGAACCTGACAGAGAACCCTGACAGAGACCTGACAGAGAACCTGACAGAGAACCTGACAGAGAACCTGACAGAGAACCTGACAGAGAACCTGACAGAGAACCTGACAGAGAACCTGACAGAGAACCTGACAGAGAGCCTGACAGAGAACCTGACAGAGAACCTGACAGAGAACCTGACAGAGAACCTGACAGAGAGCCTGACAGAGAACCTGACAGAGACCCTGACAGAGAACCTGACAGAGAACCTGACAGAGAACCTGACAGAGAGCCTGACAGAGAACCTGACAGAGAACCTGACAGAGAACCTGACAGAGAACCTGACAGAGAACCTGACAGAGAGCCTGACAGAGAACCTGACAGAGAACCTGACAGAGAGCCTGACAGAGACCCTGACAGAGAGCCTGACAGAGAACCTGACAGAGAACCTGACAGAGACCCTGACAGAGAGCCTACAGAGAACCTGACAGAGAGCCTGACAGAGAACCTGACAGAGAACCTGACAGAGACCCTGACAGAGAGCCTGACAGAGAGCCTGACAGAGAACCTGACAGAGAACCTGACAGAGAACCTGACAGAGAACCTACAGAGAGCCTGACAGAGAACCTGACAGAGAACCTACAGAGAGCCTGACAGAGAACCTGACAGAGAACCTGACAGAGACCCTGACAGAGAGCCTGACAGAGAGCCTGACAGAGAACCTGACAGAGAACCTGACAGAGAACCTGACAGAGAACCTGACAGAGAACCTGACAGAGAGCCTGACAGAGAACCTGACAGAGAACCTGACAGAGAGCCTGACACAGAGAACCTGACAGAGAGACCTGACCTGACAGAGAGCCTGACAGAGAACCCTGACAGAGAGCCTGACAGAGAGAACCTGACAGAGAACCTGACAGAGAACCTGACAGAGACCCTGACAGAGAGAACCTGACAGAGAACCTGACAGAGAGAGCCTGACAGAGAACCTGACAGAGACCCTGACAGAGAGCCTGACAGAGAGCCTGACAGAGAACCTGACAGAGAACCTGACAGAGAACCTGACAGAGAACCTACAGAGAGCCTGACAGAGAACCTGACAGAGAACCTACAGAGAGCCTGACAGAGAACCTGACAGAGAACCTGACAGAGACCCTGACAGAGAGCCTGACAGAGAGCCTGACAGAGAACCTGACAGAGAACCTGACAGAGAACCTGACAGAGAACCTGACAGAGAACCTGACAGAGAGCCTGACAGAGAACCTGACAGAGAACCTGACAGAGACCCTGACAGAGACCCTGACAGAGAACCTGACAGAGAGCCTGACAGAGAACCTGACAGAGAACCTGACAGAGAACCTGACAGAGACCCTGACAGAGAACCTGACAGAGAACCTGACAGAGACCCTGACAGAGAGCCTGACAGAGAACCTGACAGAGAACCTGACAGAGAACCTGACAGAGAACCTGACAGAGAGCCTGACAGAGAACCTGACAGAGAGCCTGACAGAGAACCTGACAGAGAACCTGACAGAGAACCTGACAGAGAGCCTGACAGAGACCCTGACAGAGAGCCTGACAGAGAACCTGACAGAGAGCCTGACAGAGAACCTGACAGAGAACCTGACAGAGAACCTGACAGAGAACCTGACAGAGAACCTACAGCTTTCATAAGGGTCAGATTTTGTGGGGATTTTAGTGTCTCTTGTTAAATTCACACTTTAATGCAGCTAACTCTCGCTCTGCTCTGATCTGCAGCTCTGATTAGTGTATTTGGTGCAAAGCATCATGGGAGCTCGTCCACTGTGCAGAACCGGGAGGACCAGACAATGCCGAATATGGTGGAGTTCCTCTAATCTCTCAGTCCCCGAGGCTGAACAGGACGCCATCTTGGATCACTGAGGCTTGACTTTAACCAGGAACAAGAACGCAGGACGAGCAGGATTCTGACGGCTTGGGAGTAGCCCAGAGCCGTCATTTTGACTGCAGCATTCCCACAACAACTGTTCATATGGAACACAGGACTCAACGCCCACATTTGTAAATGCAGCATATTTCCCCGTGTTCTTGGGTTCAAGCAGTCGAGAATGCATTAATGACTTCTTTTGCCAAAATCAAACAATAGCACATAAGCAGTAAATACACTTCCTGATGTAAAAGCAGTCAAAGTGACTGCTGTGGGAGCTCTGTGTTAAAGTGCTGGTACCGTGAAGCTGTTGTTGATGTTCTTGGTGCTGGTCTCGGCCACGCTGGCATCAGACAGGTCCACCTCGTCGAAGATCAAGGACTGGAAGGAAACACATGAGAAAGAGGCTGAGTCTCAGTCTGAGTCTGGGTCCGAGTCCGAGTCTGAGGCCGAGACTGAGGCCGAGTCTGAGGCCGAGTCTGAGGCCGAGTCTGAGGCCGAGTCTGAGGCAGAGTCTGAGGCAGAGTCTGAGGCCGAGTCTGAGGCCGAGTCTGAGGCAGAGTCTGAGGCCGAGTCTGAGGCCGAGTCTGAGGCAGAGTCTGAGGCAGAGTCTGAGGCCGAGTCTGAGGCAGAGTCTGAGGCCGAGTCTGAGGCAGAGTCTGAGGCAGAGTCTGAGGCCGAGGCCGAGTCTGAGGCCGAGTCTGAGGCCGAGTCTGAGGCCGAGTCTGAGGCCGAGTCTGAGGCAGAGTCTGAGGCCGAGTCTGAGTCTGAGGCCGAGTCTGAGGCAGAGTCTGAGGCCGAGTCTGTCTGAGGCTGAGACCGAGTCCGAGACTGAGCTGGTGCTACCCATGTGTACTGGGTGCAGCTCTGACTGCCACCCCCAACCCAGAAATGGATTAAGGGGAAGAAAATGGATGGATGGGTGTATTGTGTGTTTGTGTGTTGTGTATTGTGTGTATATTGTGTATATTGTGTGTGTTGTGTGTACCTTGCAGTCCTTGGCGTAGTAGAGCGTCCGTCCCCTCAGTTTGAAGTACCTCCTCTTCCATCTCTGGAACGAGCTCGTCTGTTTGAGCAGAGTCCCCTCTTTCACACTTTTCTGTCCACACAACAACATATTGCAATTATCTATCATATATAATATATATATATATATATATATATATATATATATATATATATATATATATATATATATATATAGATATATATATATATATATATATATTATATATATATATATATCTATATCTAAGTATGTACGTATATAGCAAATGTTTACAGACCAAGGTTTCCCACAGAACTTTAAATGTTCAGATTTCAGATATTGTTCATTCTCTCTGAACACACTGGACCATCAAAGCCTCCGACCAAACACCTCTCATTACATTCAGACCTATGGCACTGTTCATGTTTTTAGGGGTAGGGGAAACCTGCGCCGACCGGGATTCAAACCCAGAACCTTCTTAATGAGAAGCGAGACTGCTAACCACTCAGCCACCGTAGCACCATGGAGGAAATGGTACAAAGTTCTCAAAATGACAAAAAAAAAATCAAAAACAGACCCAACAAGCAAAGCCACTGAAACTACTACAGCAACTACAAGAGACCAGAGAGAGACCAGAGAGAGACCAGAGAGAGACCAGAGAGAGACCAGAGAGAGACCAGAGAGAGAAACCAGAGGGAGACCAGAGAGACACAAGAGAGAGAGACCAGAGAGACCAGAGAGAGACCAGAGAGACCAGAGAGAGACCAGAGAGAGACCAGAGAGAGACAAGAGAGAGACAAGAGAGAGACCAGAGAGAGACCAGAGAGAGACCAGAGAGAGACCAGAGAGAGACCAGAGAGAGACCAGAGAGAGACCAGAGAGAGACCAGAGAGAGACCAGATAGATCTTGTGATGACAGAAGCGAGACGCCGAACACACTGGACCATCAAAGCCTCCGACCAAACACCATCCTCTCCCTCACTCATTACATTCAGACCTATTGTGCATGTTTTTAGTGGTAAGGGAAACTGGAGCACCCGGAGGAAACTCACAGGAAGCACTATATTTGGTATGGTCTCATTTTGATTTTAAAACCGACAAAAATCAATGGACATTTGTCAAAAGGAAAGAGGATTATTATTATTAATTCACTACGGTTAAGGTTCAGAGACGCTTTACTGGTCCCACGGTGGGGAAATGTCAGTATTGCATCATCAGTTACAGAACAGCAGGAACTTAAGCATAATTATTATCATTATTATGGATAATTATTTGTGTTATTAAATGTTTTTGTGGGAGCTGGAAATGTTGCAGATGTCAAAGAAAGCTAATGTCAACAGTAATAATAGGAACTGGAAGAAAAGGATAAAGTTTGTGGCTCGAAGTGTGCGTGTCTTTAAGTGCGTTGGACTTTGAGAGTCTGTGGGTTCCGGCACTTCCTGTTTGACCATATTAGGAGTGACAGCAGAGAGTGTGCCGTCGCTACAGGAGCCTCCGAGGGACAAAAGATACCGTTATGTCATCGGCAGACGTGGATTTCCCCCAAAGACTGGGGTCTAAAAGAGGACTCAGAGTCCAGGCAGAGTCCAGGCAGAGTCCAGGCAGAGTCCAGGCCGAGACCAGGCCGAGTCCAGGCCGAGACCAGGTCAAGTCCAGGCAGAGTCCAGGCCGAGACCAGGTCGAGTCCAGGCAGAGTCCAGGTTGAGTCCAGGTTGAGTCCAGGTTGAGTCCAGGTTGAGTCCAGGTTGAGTCCAGGTTGAGTCCAGGTTGAGTCCAAGCAGAGTCCAGGTTGAGTCCAGGTTGAGTCCAGGTTGAGTCCAGGTTGAGTCCAAGCAGAGTCCAGGTTGAGTCCAGGTTGAGTCCCGGTTGAGTCCAAGCAGAGTCCAGGTTGAGTCCAGGTTGAGTCCCGGTTGAGTCCAAGCAGAGTCCAGGTTGAGTCCAGGTTGAGTCCAGGTTGAGTCCAAGCAGAGTCCAGGTTGAGTCCAGGTTGAGTCCAGGTTGAGTCCCGGTTGAGTCCAAGCAGAGTCCAGGTTGAGTCCAGGTTGAGTCCAGGTTGAGTCCAAGCAGAGTCCAGGTTGAGTCCAGGTTGAGTCCAGGTTGAGTCCAGGTTGAGTCCAAGCAGAGTCCAGGTTGAGTCCAGGTTGAGTCCCGGTTGAGTCCAAGCAGAGTCCAGGTTGAGTCCAGGTTGAGTCCCGGTTGAGTCCCGGTTGAGTCCAAGCAGAGTCCAGGTTGAGTCCAGGTTGAGTCCAGGTTGAGTCCAAGCAGAGTCCAGGTTGAGTCCAGGTTGAGTCCAGGTTGAGTCCAGGTTGAGTCCTGGTTGAGTCCAGGTTGAGTCCAGGTTGAGTCCTGGTTGAGTCCTGCAGAACTGAGTGAGAAACCTGCAGCCCCTGATTTAAAGACTTCACTTAAAACTAGAAACTTGCAATGGCTGAAGCCATTGCGATTGACTGCGGAACAGATCTAATGTGGAAATCTGCTAAAAAAAATCCTTGAAATCCTTTAAAAGGCCTTGAAACTGTTAAAATACTTGATAGATATTTGAAACTCCTGAAGTCCTTGAAATTGTTGAAACCTTTAAACTCCTGAAATCCTTGAAACTGTTGAAACATTGAAACTCCTGAAATCCTTGAAACTTTTTTTAAACCTGGAAACTGTTGAAAGTGTGGAAACTCCTGAAATCCTTGAACCTCCTGATATCCTTGAAACTGGTTAAATTCTTAAACAGTTGAAATCCTTGAAACTACTGAATGTATTGAAAGTGTCCTTGAAACTGAAAAATCCCCTCACCGCTGAAACAATTTGGTTCCTGTAACTAAGGAAACCTGGTCTGTGGTCATTATCTGGTGGTGGTCTGAGTCTTCGTTTGGGTCTTGGTCTGGTGGTATAATGCAACCTATTAGGTTGCATTATACTGGTTTACATGGAAAAATCCCTATTAGGTTGCATTATACTGGTTTACATGGAAAAATCCCTATTAGGTTGCATTATACTGGTTTACATGGAAAAATCCCTATTAAGTTGCATTATACTGGTTTACATGGAAAAATCTCTATTAAGTTGCATTATACTGGTTTACATGGAAAAATCCCTATTAGGTTGCATTATACTGGTTTACATGTACAAATCCCTATTAAGTTGCTTTATATGGTTTACATGTAAAAACCCCTATTAGGTTACATTATAGTGGTTTACATGTAAAAATCCTTATTAAGTTGCATTATACTGGTTTACATGTAAAAACCCCTATTAAGTTCCATTATACTGGTTTACATGTAAAAACCCCTATTAAGTTCCATTATACTGGTTTACATGTAAAAACCCTATTAAGTTGCATTATACTGGTTTACATGGAAAAATCCCTATTAAGTTGCATAATACTGGTTTACATGGAAAAATCCCCATTAAGTTGCATTATACTGGTTTACATGAAAAAAACCCTATTAAGTTGCATTATACTGGTTTACAAGGAAAAATCCCTATTAAGTTGCATTATACTGGTTTACATGGAAAAATCCCTATTAAGTTGCATAATACTGGTTTACATGGAAAAATCCCCATTAAGTTGCATTATACTGGTTTACATGTAAAAAACCCTATTAAGTTGCATTATACTGGTTTACATGGAAAAATCCCTATTAAGTTGCATTGTACTGGTTTACATGGAAAAAAACCCTATTAAGTTGCATTATACTGGTTTACATGGAAAAAACCCTATTAAGTTGCATTATACTGGTTTACATGTAAAAACCCCTATTAAGTTGCATTATACTGGTTTACATGGAAAAAATCCCCATTAAGTTGCATTATACTGGTTTACATGAAAAAAAACCCTATTAAGTTGCATTATACTGGTTTACATGAAAAAACCCTATTAAGTTGCATTATACTGGTTTACATGGAAAAATCCCTATTAAGTTGCATTATACTGGTTTACATGGAAAAATCCCTATTAGGTTGCATGATTACACTGAAGTCCTTGAAACTGCTGAAGTCCTTGAAACTGCTGAAGTCCTTGAAACTGCTGAAGTCCTTGAAACTGTTGAAGTCCTTGAAACTCTTGAAATCTTGAAACTGCTGAAATCCTTGAAACTGTTGAATCCTTGAAACTGTTGAATCATTGAAACTGTAGAAATGTCTGAAAGAGCTGAAGTCCTATTAAAATGCATGGGCCTATTAAAATGCATTGCAGAATTCTCAATGCAGATTTTTGTCCGATTGCGGAAAAACCCGGAAATCGCTGAAGTCCCAAAAGTAATAGCAATAATCTCCCAAACATGTGGAACGTTTTGATGTATAACTTGTGGAAATTGTTGAAAATGTGAAAGCTGTGAAACGTGTCAAAAAAAATGACGGAATAAAGAAATACAAAACCAATGGTTGACTGCGGAAGGTTCCGCAGTCAATCAACTATATTTATTCTATTTTATTTGAACTTTTTTATTGATTGACTGCGGAACTTTCCGCAGTCAACCATTGGTTTTGTATTTCTTTATTCCGTCATTTTTTTTGACACGTTTCACAGCTTTCACATTTTCAACAATTTCCACAAGTTATACATCAAAACGTTCCACATGTTTGGGAGATTATTGCTATTACTTTTGGGACTTCAGCGATTTCCGGTTTTTCCGCAATCGGACAAAAATCTGCATTGAGAATTCTGCAATGCATTTTAATAGGCCCATGCATTTTAATAGGACTTCAGCTCTTTCAGACATTTCTACAGTTTCAATGATTCAACAGTTTCAAGGATTCAACAGTTTCAAGGATTTCAGCAGTTTCAAGATTTCAAGAGTTTCAAGGACTTCAACAGTTTCAAGGACTTCAGCAGTTTCAAGGACTTCAGCAGTTTCAAGGACTTCAGCAGTTTCAATGACTTCAACAGTTTCAAGGACTTCAGCAGTTTCAAGGACTTCAGCAGTTTCAAGGACTTCAGCAGTTTCAAGGACTTCAGTGTAATCATGCAACCTAATAGGGATTTTTCCATGTAAACCAGTATAATGCAACTTAATAGGGATTTTTCCATGTAAACCAGTATAATGCAAC